CTAATTTTTTCTATATATTTTTAGTTGTCCGATTAATTTCTTTCTATTTTTAGTAGAGACGGGGTCTTGCTCTTGCTCAGGCTGGTCTTGAACTCCTGAGCTAGAACAATCCGCCCGCCTTGGCCTCCCAGAGTTCTAGGATTACAGGCGTGAGCCACCGCACCCGGCCCATAGGTCGTCCTTAGCCCAATATCCATTAATCTGACCTTTTCTCCATCACCTCCCCAAACTCCTGCAACTTTCTTCCTCTGTGTCATAATCAGTGGAATTCCTACCTTCTCAACCTCTTCTCCAAACATTTTCCCCACATTCTTACAGTGAAACCTCCTGCCCGATGACTTTGCTTCCCCTGCCACTTCCAGATTATTGTGATTCTCTCTGCCCAAAAGCTACCCAAGTCTTTTTTCTCTCCACACTTTTAAGATTTTCTCTTCATCACCGATTTTAAGCAATATGATTATGATGTGCTTTGGTATAGTTTTCTTCATGTTTCTTCTGCTGGATTCTTGAATTTCTTAGATTTGTGGGTTTATAGATATCATCAAGCTTGGAGTTTTTCTGCCATTATTTCTTCAATTTTTATATTTTTGCACCATCCCATCTTATTCCATGCCCTCCCCCATTACCAGAGCTCTTCTCCATCTGAGAATCCAATTACATGTTTATTAAGCCACTTAAAATTGTCCCACAACTCACTAATGATAATATTTTTTGATTGTTTTTAGTTTTTATTTCTCTGTGTACCATGGTGGATAGTTTCTATTGCTATATCTTCAAGTTCACACTGATCTTTTCTTCTGCAATGTCTAATCTATTAAATCCTGTCAGTATATTTTTTTCATATCAGACATCGATTATATTTTTCATTTCTAGAAGTTCAATATTGGTCTTTTTATGTCTTCTATGTCTCCCCTTAACATGCTCATGCTTTCTTCTATCTTCTTGAACATAGGCAGTATGTTTACAGAGGTTTTACCATTCCAGCTGTTAGGAATGTGAACTGTTCCCAGCCTTATGTGAACTATGGAAACTGTTCTGCCTGTTCCTTTTTGGTGGTCCTTTTTCCAG